TACTTCAGAAAGACCGGCCTATACTAAACACTGATGATTATTTTGATGCGACATTTGACATGGCAAATTTTTGGCAAATATTTCGACGAGGTTTTCATGCGAAATTTAAATTAAAAAGTCTTACTATTTTTTGCTCTGTAGTATTATATAATAACTTATTTAATTGCCAATTACTTTAAAAAATTTTAATGCTATTTTAAAACAAACATTTATAAACTTACTAGGTCAATATCTTTTTATCTACTACCATTTTCGGTTATTCGCCAATTTCAGACAAAAAGCTTAAATTCAACTTTACTTTGACATTTTAATTTATCTATTCTATTTAAGTTTCTTTCCACTACTCTCTTTATTTGTAGTTTATCTCATTTGTCGTTTTCCAAATTGCGCTGTGATTTCTTTTTTGATTTTTTGTTTTAACTGTCACTTCTTTGGACATTTTCGTTGGCGCGTAAAATTATGCCAACTTTGCAAAAGAATTTCAAATTAAAAGAGAAATAAAGCGGCGAGTGTGTCAATGAGAAATAAAGTGAATCGAATTGCCCCAATAAAAAAAGGAAAATTATTTGAAATATATGAATTGCAACAAAAAAAAAAAAAAAAAAAAAAAAAAAAAAAAAAAAAAAAAAAAAAAAAAAAAAAAAAACAGTATCCCAATGACGCATTTGCCTGCGTATTGGTTTTGTGTTGGTGGCTGTTGGGCTGAACGGCAGCGTAGCGTGAAATTTGAATATGCTGCCGATTCTGATTTTTTCTTAACGCGAGAAAATAAAGTTAATTTGGCTTTTACACAGCCAGCTACAAGAATTGCTTTGACTGACTGAGAGATAAGGTAGCTACCGCTTTTTTTTTGAGGTAAAATTTAAATGTGCGCTTCTATAAATATTGAAATAAATTTACGCATGGCATAAAATATTAAAAAAACATATTTGAAAAAAATTTAAGAAATATTTTCACAAAATTTGTAATAATATTTGGTTAAAATACTAAAATGCTTTTTCATCGAAATAATTTTTTTAGTACCTAAAACGCACTTAAAGCGTTAAAAAGGCACAACTCGTGTTGTTAAATGTTTTCTCTACTCTGCCACATGTGTCAAAATGTACCGCTATATTTTTTACTGCCAAATTTCATATTTACCGACGCATTATGATCAGTTAAATAATACTTTGCTTAAAAAAAAAACGCTTTTTGTAGTTGCAGAATTGCGAAAACCCTAAAATCATTTTATGTTGCGTTTATTTACACTTTGCGCATAATAGTTTAATCCCGCATATTATGGCATACATGAATTTTAAATCAATCCACACACACACACACACACACATAAATATTTATAAAAGCACATGGCAATGTAGCATAATCTAATGTCATTTGTTTTTGCTTAATAAATGTGATAAGCAAATATTTTGTGAGATAATGCCTCTGTGCATATATTTGCATACTCCACAAGATAATACCGTTAAATGTGCAAGCTTATTGCATTAAATATTTACGCGGATAAAATTTTAAATATTCATATTGTATTTACTTGAGCGTATTAACGAAATATTAATGCAAATAAATAAATATAAGTGCGGCGATATGGCAACGCTGTTATGTGTTTTCTCTTTTAGGTTACTAAACTTGTTATTTGGTAATTAAAAGCTATGTATTGAAACTGTTTCAAATTAGATGAAAATAATATTTTAGTAAAGTTACTTTGTTTGTGTAAAGAATATTAAAAAATGTGTAATTAAAAATATATTTCAGATTTTGGTGGTCATATTTATTTCCAAATCATTGCCTTACACATAAAGTTCATCTTTTATTAATTGTTCAACTTTCAAYCGTTTTCCATATACCATAATTTTTATCTGTTAGTATGATCCTATACGAACATACATACATACTTTCAAAAATATACATTAAAGCGAATTTATATCACGGAAAATTAACTAGTTCGCACCATAAAAATGTGAGTTGTAAATATTGGGTAGTCGAAAAGTCTTTTCGTGTTTTGTCAATAGAMGTCGTTGCAGTCGTAGATCTCCAGTGCTACCAATCACTTTGTGTCTTACCACATAGTATACGAAAGGTGATATTTTAAGCTTCATTTAACCGAAMATTAAATTCGGGAAAGTTGAAGAAAAATTACAGCTGTTCAAAAGTGAGTGAAAATAATGGAAAAATTCGCTGTATTTTAAAATTTTTTGCATAAAAAAGGGAAGAATGYCASGCAAGCTACCAATGAAATATGTGAAGTTTACGGAGACGATGCTGTATCAGTAGTATAACAATGATTCGCYYGCTTCCGTTCTGGAAATTTCGAATAATGTCTCTAGCGAACAAATGGCAAAAAGTGATACATATTTGTTTATTTATTTATTAGTATAAACATAGAAAAACTAAGTTAAAASTTGATTAGATATACGAAAAAACTTTTTCGAACAGCCAATATATTAACCACAGCGCCATCTAGCAAGTGTTTAAATTAAGTCAGAGTAGYTTCTTCGATTGATAATTTCTCCCMACACTTTCTCAAATATTGTAGGTAATTATTCGAATAAAAGGATTTTGGAACTTGACTCATTCCTTGCGTGGCTACCTAAGTAGCAATGATAGCTACTTCAGCAGCCATTATCAAATTTTGGCCAATCTCAAGTCAATTTGCATACTCCTTACAAAATAAACAAATTATGTGTGAGCAGGAATGCATGAAATATTGTTGATTAAGAAACTTAGAATATCAGTTTTAATATCCGGTATTAGTCCCTCTTTATAAGTATACAAAGATGAAGAAGAATCTCTTCAGTCTTATATAAGAAAAATCCGTCTTTCTCGCTGTATGGATACCGCAGGTGTTATGTCAACGTAAAAAGCCTTATAGGCAGAATATTCATCTGCAAGTCGGTGCAAAATCTATCCATTCCTGAAGTGAATTTTTACTGGGCCGAAAATGGTCCTAGTCGAATCGCAGCTAGCTCGTGCAAAGGGGTTTTAAGTCAGGATTGATAATACGGAACCTTTTGCTAAAAACTATCAACTAAAAGCATTTTTCAAACATGCATATTATTTCCGAAGTTATAGCAGCTTTAATATCGTGGCAACTGGTTTGGTATGAGGTGTGGACGAAAATTGAAAAGCGTTTTTCTCGAAAATCTTTTTGAAGTGGTCGCCATGATATCTCAATTTCTAAGCAGCAGACTTATTTGAAGTCATTATTTATCAATTTATCACGTGAAGCCAAAAATTTAAATTTTTAATATTTTTAACAAATTCGACAAAGTTAAAAAATTAGTGAAAAATTTATCTTTATTTTTATATAATATAAATCAATAAAAAAATGATAAAAAGAGGTTGGTAAAGATATTAAAAGATATTTTTATATCACTTGCCATAACCCGCTCGAAATTCGGGCCTCTAGACTAGAATACCCTCATAATTCAAACCTGTACTGTCAATAACTAGACTCTCTGAAGCTTGCCTGGGAGGTTCTTATGCAACCACCTTATAGACTTGTTATGTTGCTGTCTATGGTGAATGATTTTACAGGTGAAAAATTGGTCTCAAAGGAATTTAGCGAAAATCAATTGTTTCTGCGGCTTTCGGCACTTTAGTCGTAATATTTTATTACTCTCTATAATGGTAGTATTTAGGGTGATCTCTTTATATCTCTAAGTATATTAACTTGAAAGGTAACCCCATCTGGAACTGCTAGCTTGTCTTTTATATTTAAGTTTGGTTAGTTGTTTCCCAAAATAAAAAATATAGATATTTTAAAACAATACGTCCTAACCATATATCTCGAACCTGCGCATAGTATATAAATTATATCTTCCCAACGTTTTTAATATGGTATATTTTCAGATATAATATGATTCATATAACATATTTCTTGAAACGGGTATAACCATTGTAGCTCTTAATGACCCAAAATAATTTAAAACTCACAACTCATTTTTAATTTTTATTTTTTTGGCAAAATCCTTGTGCTTCTTCTTAACGGATGCTGAATTGCAATTCGCTGCAATGCAGCTCACTTACACACTACTCGCTCTCCTTTTTATGCTTCCATTTCCTTTGCTACACTGCATTAATATAACAAACAGTATAATTAAAATGTGAGACAAAAAGCGCTTTCGCACTGCACACGCACACACATATACTTATATGTGTACATGCATACAAAACGAGATATGTATACAAACATATGTACATATTAGGGTGGGTAAGCAAAAATTTAATTTTTTTCTTAGAAACTGTGAAAATATCGTCCGAAATAATAAAATATCTGTTAAAGTTAATATGCACTAAGAGTGTGCTGTTATAGTAATTATTATTGTGATTTTAGATTTCCCATATAAATAATATCTTATTTTATTTGTATGTTAAATGCATTTAAATGCATTTTGTCTTGCGAGTATGGAAATTTATTACTGTAAACATTTAAGGATCTACAAATGGGAACTGATTTGAGTTTTTCTAAGCAGATTCGGTCAAAAGTTATTCGTGTTGAAAATTCAACCAAAAATTGAATAAAGAATTGTTTTTTTTTAACTATTTTATATTCTTTCGCAAAACAATGCCTCAATTTCATAAAATATATTAGTTTTATGAATATCTAATTTTTTATGACTTATGTTGTTTTTATTCGAGAAAAAAAGTGTCAACCAGTTCGAACGAAAAAAACCTTAAAGACATATGTTTTGTAATAAATTAGTTGGTTGGCATTAAAAAGATTAAAATTTTTATTATTTTCTTATTTTTTTCGTAATTTCCRCAAATATTTTCAAGGCATCTAAGCAAAAATAACATTTTATTTGGCCCACCCTAATAACTATATACAACGCACAGCATGTTGTATAGAAGTGTATGCATATGCATAAATGTGTGTGTGTGTTCGTGTTTTGCCCGTGGCAAAGCAAGGATTTCCTGCGCTCGTTGGCATTGCAGATTCGCTTTGCAGTGATTTCATACTGCAACCCTGTCATACCGTTATCGTTTGTGCACGAACTTACCTTGTGCTCGTGCCATTCGCACGCTTCCGCTTGCCGTTAGAAGTATGCAGTATGTCGTGAGAAACTGACAAAACAATGACAGTGTGGCTCTAATGGTGTTGTTGGTGGYTTTTTTGTCCTTGTTGTTGTTGGTGCTAATATTGTTGTTGTTGTTACTGCAGTGAAGCCGACGCCTCAGGTGCGCTTGTGGTGGGATTTTTGTGTGTCGCTGCCGCTTGTCGGCKTTGTTGCTGTTTTTGTTGTTGTTGCTGCTGCTGCTGCTGCTGCCGCTGTGCAGCGGATGCGGAAATGGCGCCATTTGTGTTGTTGACGCCATAATGGTGCGCAAAATGCAATACAAATGTTAGCTGCCTGCAAAAAGTAAAAACAAAAGAGTAATTAAAAAAGAGCCGTTATGATATGARGCAAGTGCTTGTTGTTGTTGTAAGTGAGTGAATTTTGCCAAAAATTTCAATAAGCGCATATTTTTGCGAAAATTTCGTATACGCCGCGCGACGCATGTACTACAACAACAACAACAAAAGTAGTACGCAAAGACAAAATGCGTAACAATTTGGCGCACAATAAATTTTCCATCAATTTTACTAATTAAAAAGTTGCCACTTTGCACAATGGCAGGCAATTCGACAGCAGATGGGCAAACACAAAGTGTACGAAGCGGAGTAACGAAAAAACTGGCACGAGACAAAATTGAAGTGCGCAAAATTGAATGTCGGACACACACACACACACACACACACACACACACACACTCATACACAGTACCACAGCAATTAAGCGTCACTTCATTTCCGGCATTTGTTTTAGCAGCATTCTCAATCAGCGCGCTGACAGCGTGGCATTTTATCCTCGTCGACTAATGCATGCCGCTTTTCTCACACTTTCTCTCACGCCCTCTCCCGCTGACCCGCATAAATGAATTATGAAATAATTGGTTTAGCAAGCGCTTTGCAAAGCCACTCAGCAGCACTAAATTCCAGCTATCCAACTATCCGGCTTCCTCATTGACATCCGCGCCGCCTCCTATGTAYGGCTTTGTTTTACCAGTGAGTTCGGCRTCTCCATTCCGTTGGTACCGTTGTATTGTGCGAAATTTTAACAACGYTTTCAATAACTTAAATGCTAATGCTAAACTTAAACTGCTTAACACGCTGTGTGACGTGCTGCGGTGTAGCTGGCGTTCAGTGGTCGGTTTTCCACAAGCGGCTTTAGTGCCGAGTCCACTGCCGTTGATCCGGCATTGAATTGCGCTAAGCACCATTTAACCGCTGCTCCGCGAACCAGCGTTACTATTTTGTTGTTGTAACAATGTCGCCAGTTATGACACTGCCATTACTGTCTCGCTCTCGCTCACTCTCACTACCACCTCTGTAACTAACTACTGCCCTGCTTCCCGCTTTGCGCCTCGGGCTCATTTCTTATCGCTGCCGTTTCTCCATGTCCTTTGGATTTCTTGAGTTGCAAATGGGAAAAGTTGCCGCATTTCAACTGCAATGGCAAGCGCCGCAGTGACAGCATTTTACGCCAGTTGCCCGCTGTGCTTTATGGACTGTCGCCATTCACTCAACTCAACTCGCCGACACTGTGCCACTACTGCCAGTGCCAATGTCTCTGATTTCACTTTACTTTCCATGCGTCAAGATTTTAATTACAGCGTTGTTGCGAATGTTTCGCTATGCTTTGCAATTCCAGACGCCGGTCGCACAGTGGTGTCGCTTAGGTGCACTGCGTCAATGGTGAAGGATGCTAGTTCTGGGACAATGTGAGCGTCTCTTRAGAGTTACAGCTTTCGATGGTTGTTCTCTCTTTGAGAGCACGAAATATGCCACGCCCAGCACCCAGTGAAGAAAATATAGCAGCCGTAGCTCATYGGGGAGAGTCTATTTGGCGCCGTTCGCACCAACTCGGACTGACAAATGGAACGAATTATCGCATTTTGMATCGATATCTTAATTCGAGTGCATACAAAGTGAGTTGAGTGCAAGAACTGAAGCCGCTCGACCTTCCCGAGCGACATTGCTATAATCTGTGTGCTCTTGAAAGGTTCTCAACCTGAAAATATTCAAATGCTGTCATTTAATTCAGAAAAAAATAACGGTTTGATGTAGTTTGTGGGTCGTTGGAATCATTGGTCCACACTTCTTCGAAAATTATATCGGTAGGAACGTGACATTTGGTTTCAACAAGACGGTGTCACATCTCTCACATCGCATCAATCAATGGATTTATTGAGAGAACACTTTGGTAACCAGATAATTTTACGTTTTGACCCGGTTGATTTGCAACCAAGATTGTGTGATATCACATCGTTAGACTTTTTCCTGTGTGGATATGTAAAGTATAAAGTCTATGCGGACTACAAGGTCTGCAAGGTCGTACTGCAAAATAGAGAGTTTCTTCAAAATCCTATCGTCCCATAATATGTTCGGCAATGAAGTAATTTTTTCGAATATAATTTTTTCGAAATAACAAAGTTAGGGGATCATCCTTGGAAATCTCTAAATTATATTTAATTATTTTTGCTTATTAACACTATATACGTTTCTAAACCCACTGTGCAAGACGTTTAAACACATCAAAAGCACTAAAATGCGATCCGCACAGAGCGTAACGCAGTAGCAGGAACTGAGAAATTCTATTAACTTATGAAATTACAAGAGAAATGAAAACTTATAACAAGAAGTCATTAAGTCACACGGAATTAAAAACTAAAAAGTCAAATTACACTAGGAGTAAGACAACACAAATATAGTTGCCGTTGGGAAAATCTTCAGAAAAGAATTTCTATCGCTTAAGAAGAGAGGAAATTAAAATAAAATAGCAAATAGAAAGAAGACGGAAAAGTGTGGAACAGTGGTGGCAGGAAGGCAAAGAAAAAAACAAAAACAAAAAAATGCGTGCGTAATTGTGTGGAAAGGATATGTGGTAAATTGTGAGGAGTATACCAAATAGGCAGAGGGGAGAGTAGTTGAACTGTAACAAGAAACAACATGTACATTCATACATA